CCTAAGGTCTGCATGTTTTTTTTTGGTTTTAGGTTTTTTCCCAACCACCCCCAGGTCTCCTGCCCAGGCCTGCTGTTGGTCTTCGTGCCCCGTTTCGTCTCAAGTACAACCTCAGGAGCACCGGCCTGCCGGTCCCCCGTTCCGTCGTCTCAGGTACCCTGGCTCAGGACGCCCGCCTGCTGGGCCGCCCGTTCCGTCTCAAGTACCCTCCTAGGAGCCGCCTGCCGGGCCCCCGTTCCGTCTCAAAGTATCACCTCAGGAGCCGATCCTCGATGTATCCTCTGGTCCGAGATCCCGCTTTCGGCGACCCTTGAGTCCCTCCGGCCCGTGTTCCCTACCCCGTCTCGGCCGCCGTGGGGGGCGCCGCGGTCCGCGTCTGCTCTGGTGGACCTGCCTTGTCCTGGTATCCAACCGTCCTGGGGGGCGTCTCTCTCTCGTCAGCGCGCCTAGGGGTTGCCCTGTCCTGTACCTCAACCGTCCTCGGGAGCTGCTTTGTCCACAGTCGACCCGGGGTTGCCGTGTCCTGTATCCCGACCGTCCTGGCGGCCGTCTTCTCGGTCCAGCCACCCTAGAGGTTGCCGTGTCTATGTTCCTAACCCGTCCTGAGGGCTCTTCTCATCAGCCACCCCGGAGGTTGCCGTGTCTTGTAATCCTTAACCGTCCTGGGTGGCCCTCTTCTCATCGCCGCCCGGAGGTTTCCGTGTCCCGTATCCAAACCGTCCTGGGGGCCGTCTTGTCTGACTCTCCCGAGAGATCCTCCACTGAACTCTCCTTGAGGCTCTCCTCTGAACTCTTCTACTGAACTCTCGCCTGGCTCTCCCTTGAACTCGCCCCTGAGCTCCCCTTGACTCTCCACGAACTCTCCCTTGAGGTCTCCTCTGGAACTCTCTCCCCGGAAACTCTCCACTGAGCACCTCCTGCCTCCTGGAGCTCTCCTTCCGCGAACTCTCTGTGAGCTCTCCATTAGGCTCTCCACAGACTCTCCCTTGAGTTCTCCTCTGAACTCTTCCCTTGAGCTCTCCCTCTGAAACTCTCCACTGAACTCTCCCTTTGAGCTCTCCTCTTGAACTCACCCCTGAGCTCCCCCTTTCTACTCTCCACCGGAACTCTTCCCTTGAGGCTCCAACTCTGAGACTCTCCCCTGAACTCTTTGACAGAGAACTTTCCCCTGAGCTCACGGGGAGCTCCAGGGGAAAGTCTGTCAAGAGATTCGGGGAGAGACTCAAGAGTGGAGCTCAAGGGAGGGTCGTGGAGAGTCAAAGGGGAGCTCAGGGGTGGTTCAAGGGAGAGCTCAAGGGAGAGTTCAGTGAGAGGTCGAGAGAGCTCAAGGGGAGAGTCACAAGGAAAACTCAAGGGAGAGTCAGTGGAGAGCTCATGTGCAGAGCTCAGCAGAGGAGGTTCGGGAGAGAGCAGCTCAGGGGTGGCTCAGTGGAGAGTCCGGGGAGAGTTCAGAGGAGACCTCAAGGGAGAGTTCGGTGGAGAGTCAAAAGGGGGAGCTCAGGGAGCGGTTCAGGGAGAGCTCAGCGCGAGAGTTCAGTAGGAGTCAGAGGAGAGCTCAAGGGGAGTGGTTCGTGGAGATCTCTCGCGTGAGAGTTTCAGACAAGACGCGCCTCCAGGACGGTTGGGATACGGGACACGGCCCTCCGGGGCGGCTGATGAGAGAGGCGGCCCAGGACGTTAGGATACAAAGACAGGCACCTCCGCGGGGTGGCTGTTGGAGAAGGGCTCCTAGACCGGTTAGATCCAGACACGGCAACCTCTAGGGTGGCTGACGAGGAGACGTCCGCGCGAGGACGGTCGGGAGTACACGGACACGGCAACCTCCGGGGTCGACGTGTGACAGCAGCAGCTCCCAGGCGGTGAGGTTACGGACAGGCACACCTAGGCGGCTGACGGAGACGGCCCGGCCGAGTCGGTGGATTACGGACGCAAGTGCAGGTTCCAGGCAGGCGGAACCGCGGCGGCCCCAAGGCGCCGGGACGGGTAGGAACTCACCGGGCCGAGGGCTCAAGGGTCGCCGAAAAGCGGGATTCTCGGGCCGAGAGGACTCTAGGGATCGGCTCCTGAGGTGATCTTGAGACGGGACCGGGGCCGGCAGGCGGGCTGCCTGAGGGTGGTACTTAGGACGGACGGGGGCCAGCGGGCGCTCCTGAGCCGTACCTGAGACGGAACGTGGGACCGGCACGGGCGTGCTCCTGGGTTGTACTGATGGCGAACCGGGGGGCACGAGACCCACAGCGGGGGCCTGGGCAAGAGACCTGCGGGCGTGGTTGGAGAAAAACCTAAACCTAAAAAAAACATCGCGACTTAGGCGCGGAAACTCCCCCCCAAGACAGTGCTAAGACCCAACACCGTTCGCAAAAATCAAACACCAGCCCTCACCCACAAACGCGAGAAGAGGAACAGTACAAAAGGGAGGGCACATAGCAGACCGAAAGGGACGCAAAGGCAGACAGTAAATCAAGAGGGACCCCACAGTTAGACTAACAAAAGTGGGGCAGTGGGAAGACACAGAGGCACCCGAGTATGTCGCGTCGGCGGGGACTAACAAGGGCTGAAACGAGCATGGGACCAATTTAGGGGACAAGGGTCACAAGTCACAGTCAGCAAAACAGAAACGTACCATCCAGATACGAAAAACCAGGTGCACCAGTACTCCAGTCTAGATATGAGGAGCATGAAAACGGAACCAGTCCGATACGAGAAAACATTTAGCCTTGTAAACAGGAGTGGGTGCACTCGCTAATGTAAACAAGAGGTTAAAAACAGTTCAGTAGGACTCTAATCATCCCTCGGTACAACCCGACATAAACCTTTTATTTTCATAGGACTGGTTTGAATGGAGTCAGAGGGCCCAGCCACGGTTAACCCAGGTGGAGGATTCACAGCCTCAAGAAATTGTTGAAGAAGTCTTGTCTCTCTTCATTTGAGATCTGTGTCTGAGCGAGGGTAGGGTGTAAAATGTGTTTCTGGTTTTTTGGGGGGGTTCTGTCACGATTCTTGTGTTGTGTCACGTTTTTAGTTTTGTGTGTCTGGTAGTGGGTGTTTTGCTTTTCTCCTTGTCATGTTTTCCTCCCTGTGTATTGTCTGGTCTTTTTTCCCTGTGTTTTCCTGTCTGTCGTTAGTTTCCCTGGTGTGTCTAATTTCCTGATTGTTTTCACCTGTCACCCCTTCTGTGTCNCCTCTAATTTCCTGATTGTCACCCCTTCAGTGTCTCCTGCGCTAATCAGCGTCAGCCCCGCCCCTGATTATTCCCACCTGTGTCTTGTTACCCTGTGTTTAAATTCCCCTGTCTCCCAGTGTTCAGTGTCAGTTCGTTTTTGTCTTTGGTCATGGTTAGGTCTATGCTTTTTGTCTATGGTCATGGTCAGATCTATCGCTCCCTTCGTCTTTTGCCTTGGTCAGGTCTATGCTCTTTTGTAAATCGTGAAGAGTTTTGTTCCTCACCACGTGAGCGATTACATTTTTTGTTCTCATTTTTTGTCATGTCATCCTGAGATTAGTTAGTGACCATTTTTTGCTGTATTTTGGAAAATAAAGTATCCTACCAATACTTTACCTCTGTCTCCCGGGTCGTGCAATTGGGTCCTAGGTGCCTGAGCTCGTAACAGATATATGGATATACTGTACATCGAGTTAATTTTATGTTTTTAGTGATTTTTACTTATAATTTCATGCAGAAATGCAACCTTTCGGTTTAATTCCACAGTTGAGGTTACACAAGTTGTTTTTACATTTTGAAGTATATTTTATTGAACTGGAAAAAGAGAGACCAAAGTTAACTCTCACTGTAAGTTACAAGATACCATTTCGCCTCGAGGTAACAAAGTCTACAGTGTTATGCAAAGTGTTACACAAGTCCTCATTGTTCTATTCTGAACTTGCAGTGCTTTTTAACTTTAGAGAGCAACGCCAGCGTTCATTCTCATTTTGGCCTGCTCTCCTTTAAGGCTGAATTTCTTCGATTGAAGACGTTTTGAGCTTTCGTACGTGGTGTTTTTCTTTCTTTTGTGCAGCCACGGTGGCTGTTCTGAACATGCTAACTACCACATTATTTTGATCTATTTTCTCTTTCTGTCTGCTGTGGCTGCTTCAGTGAACACGAAACACAACGTATCGTTAAAAGAAGGGAGATTTGTTCTTTGAAAGAACTCAGTGCACAGTGTTTCGACCAGAACATGTAGATTTTGTTATGATCTTTTCAATTTACTGGCTTTAACCAAACCTAATATTCTGACATATACTGATATTAATAGATCCAATGATTTCATAATAAATCAGTGTCCGCCAAAAGTTGTAATACACATTTATTGTGTGCAATAAAGTGAATTCCCAATACATCAAAATATTATTAAATGGGATATGATACCACACCTGTTTGACCAATCACTGCTGGTACCAAATGAAATACCTTGAACTGAATTAATTTCACCTCCTGGTGAGCACGGATGTAAAAGGAACATTTCCCTAAAGGTGGAAGGCTAAGAGGACAGAAGTATGTACTTTCTTTTTTAAATCTATATAATGTTATAATATTATCCTCAACCTCCCACAGATATTCCAAACCCCCATCAAACCCCCTGTCCCTTCCCTCTTTGTCAATACCATCGTATGACTCTCACAGCAGTGCAAAGGGACAAAAGGTCAGATTGTGTGTGATTATAATGAGCGCCACTAAAAACATTATGAGCCCTCTCGCCAGGTAATTGAAAGTGACATTCACTTCTAAATACATTTTGCGGTTTTATGACTTCCTTGTAAGGTGCGGCGTTTGATGTGTTATATTAAACACAGTAGAATAAAGTGATGGCATGGATGAAATTAGAAAATATATATATATACAGGGGAGTAGCAACGGTGGTGTGTAACACAGACTGTCAGTGTATCTAATGAGCTGGGACCGATGCTGTTAACCTGCTTTACTTATTTTCAACCTGCACGCAATGAGGGGTTGAGGAACAGAAAGGGGCGAGCATCTAAATAACTCAAAAAAGATCTCCTTCTTCTTAAATTATCTGATGCACTCATAATACTGTATGTTATGAAGTCCTTATCAGGGTCTTGCTTTTTATTAAACATTATTGAGCAGAGATTGGACTGGTTGGAAATGAAATGAAACCGTTTTGCCTCCTCAGCTCAAACCACTGCTTTGAATGATGGGAGCTTTTCCCTTGATGTGTGTTTTCTGTTGTGCGTTTTGTAAGCTCCAGGCTGTTTTCTGCAAATGTAGACAGGGAACAACAAAAGTGCAGGACACATTTTGAACATGGCTTTAAAGGAGGGAACAATCATTTGCATAGGTTTTTGTCGGGAATGTAAATGAAGGACATTAGCTCTGATTCCGTTGCCCTCCTTGGTAGTTATTTGGAGAGTATTTGGCATTTGCATATTGTGATTATAATATACTAAAGCTCATGATTGCATGTCATAATCCAGATAAAGAAACCCAAATAACTTTTGTTCTACCTCCCATCTTTATTCGTTGGCCAATAATATGTGGATTTGTATTCAGTTCAACAGAATAAAAGGTGAAATAGATGTTACTATGTTTTCTACTTTTCTGTTTTAGCTAGAACACTTGACTTGGCTAGTGATGCTACCAGACTGTGATCATAACACACACTTTGGGCATCAGAGGTTAAGGGGTACACCTTTGTTTGTTTTTCAATATTAGATTTACCTATAATATATGCAATGCTGTCACAATGATGAATGCTGTTAAACCTGAGGCACATTGATTTTGTATGCTTCAGTATAAGGAGCACCAAATGACTATAGATTTGTGATTACTAATGCTGTCAAAATGTTCGCGTTAACAGCGGTAATTAATTTTTTGAATTAATTGCGTTCAAATATTTAACGCATTTAACGCATACGTACAGTTGCAAGAAAAAGTATGTGAACCCTTTGGAACTACCTGGATTTCTGCATAAATTGGTCATAAAATGTGTTCTGATCTTCATCTAAGTCACAACAATAGACAAACACAGTCTGCTTAAGCTAAAACCACACAAACAATTATATGTTTTTATGTTTTTATTGAACACACCATGTAAACATTCACAGTGCAGGGTGGAAAAAGTATGTGAACCCTTGGATTTAATAACTGGTTGACCCTCCTTTGGCAGCAATAACCTCAACCAAACGTTTCCTATAGTT